TCAGTTGATGTTCTAAGTGTTTTAAATTTAGGAATACTGTACAGCAAACCTATACGGTTGGTGAGGTGGGCAGGTGCCTCAATGTGATAATGCCATATAATAAGAGACGCTAGTTGCTCTTGGAGCCTGCTTTCTATAGCAGGAAGGAAATGGGTGGTGGGTGGACACGGCCTTGACTTCACATAGTGTGTCTTCCCCCTTTACACATGTAACTTTGGACTTTCACTGGAACTCTCTGCTGTTTGGTTTTCACATCGATTAATAATACCAGCCCTGCATCTTTTTAAATGCATGTTAAAGATGAGGATAAAACTTCCTGTTTATGGTTAGCTTTCCATATAAAGAAGTTTTACTATTCGTTAGGTAAGGGAATTATGGGAACGTTAATAAAGAAGGTGATAGTGGGTCTCCATGAGATTTCAATAAGACAAGTGGAAGACAAAATTATGTGAAAGTAGGACCAGCAGGTGATATGAACTGGAAGACAAAAAGTGTGCTGCTTATAGTGAATAGTTCATTTCAATTGTGGTAAAAGGGATGGGAGGAAGAAAGGTGAACATCTAGTCTGCAAAAATAAGCTTATTATCTTGGGCTCCTTAGATCAGGGGTTGACAAACAACTGCCTGTCTGTTTTTGTACAGCTCAAGGACTACAGATGGTTTTATATTTTTAAATGATTGAGAAAAATGGAAGGAAGACGAATGTTGTGTGATACGTGAAAGTTCTATAGAATTTATGTTTCATTGCCTGTAAATGAAGCATTATTGGCACACAGCCACACTAATTCATTTATAGGTGGCAGAGAATGTACAACCTGCAAAGCCTAATTATTTAGTATTATTTCCTTACAGGAAAAGAGTTGTTCACCCCTGCCTTATTTTTTTGTTGTGTTATTCTAATTCCAGTATAGTTAACATAGCATTATATTAGTTTCAGGTGCACAGTATAGTGATTCAACAATTCTAAGCATTACTCAGGGCTCATCCCCTCCACCTATTTCACCCATCCCCACCCACCTCCCCTCTGCTAACAGTTTGTTCTCTGTAGTTTTTGTTTGTTTAATTTATATATATATTTTTAAGATTCTATTTATTTTTTGACAGAGAGAGACACAGCGAGAGAGGGAACACAAGCAGGGGGAGCGGGAGAGGGAGAAGCAGGCTTCTCGCCGAGCAGGGAGCCCGATGCGGGGCTCGATCCCAGGACCCCGAGGTCAGGACCTGAGCCGAAGGCAGTCGCATAACGACTGAGCCACCCAGGCGCCCCTGATTTTTTTTTTTAATCCTGCAGTTTATCATCTCTGATGGCAAAAATATAAACAGAACTATTTTATAGTCTAGGAAATAATATACCAAACAAGCTGCTTCTCTCAGTGTCTCTGATATACATGGCACTTGACAGATGAAAGCACAGCTTCTACAGGTCCCAGAAAGGCTCTGTGGGGTTACTGGCTTGGGTCTGCGTGACTCCCATTTGAATCGGGTTCTTATTCACCCTTTATTGCTTGCTATTGTGGGCCACAGTGTGAAGAATGTTTTGGTTTAATTTCCACTTATATATAGTCCCCAGTGATATGTAGTTCCAATATTGGATAGAATCTATTTAGACATTACCTTTATCTTCTCCCTTTTACTCTGTGTTTCCTCAGTTGTTAAACTTTTTTTTTTCCCAAGTAAAACCCTGTTCATTAAATCTAATAGTTATGGAACGTATTGCTTAGATAAAAGTCAATAAGAAAGAGAAATAGGAATTAAAATTTTATTGCAAAAACTTTCTCTTCAATGTGTTTAACAACCCTATCTATCACACCATACCCCTCTTTGAAAACTAGATGTCTGGTTGATTCTGATTTGCTCTGGAAATCATTTTGTGTAGCAATTTCTTTTGTCTGTAATCTTGATTCATAGCCTTTCATACGAATTCTTTTATTGCTCTGTTTTCATAATAGCTCTTAGGCAACCAATCATCATGCATGATACTGTGTTTCATTATGACTCAGTGGCATCCAGATGTCTATACCTCATGTTGTTGCCTTTTAGACACATTAAAAAAAAAAAAGTTGCTATAAAATAATCGCATTCATTTGTGCAGTAAATTTTAAATTTTTCTTTCATATGCCAGTCAAACTTTTACTTGAATACAGAAATACTTGTTATCCCTTTTGAAAGAGCTAAATGAATATCTTAAAAGTGGTTGTGGTTTTGAATTGATTTAAAAGGAGATGATAAACAGGATTTTTAAGACACCTTCTGTCATACATAGACACATACTATATAAAAATAAGATTTCTCTCATTATTTGTCAGTTTTATAAGTAATATAGGAACAAACTACACAGGTTAATATCCAAGCTATTTTTGAGTATGTTTAGAGTAAGTAAATGCATTTAGGTAAAGAATTTTTTTTATCCTTAGCAATACCCGAATTAAATACTAGATTACATGTATGGGTACAATACAGTGTTAATGCAGAGGTCAGCCTTCTTACAAGAGGTTTTGCATCACAATTACCCAATGAGCCTTCTTTTTTTAAAGATTTTATTTATTTATTTGAGAGAGTATGAGAGTGAGAGAGAGCATGAGCAGGGGAGAGAGAGAGGGAGAAACAGGCTTCCCGTGGAGCAGGGAGTGGGGAGCCCAACGCAGTACTCGATTCCAGGACCCTGAGATCATGACCTGAGCTGAAGGCAGATGCTTAACTGACTGAGCCACCTAGGAGCCCCCCCCCCTTTTAAAAATACATATGGTTGGGCTTCTTCCTGGATCTGCTGAATCAAAATCTTCTTTGAAGGGGCCACACATGTGTCAGAAAACTCCCTTGGGTAGTTCTGATCCTCACATTTGGTTGAGAGCCACTGCACTGGAAATATTTTTAGGTAATAGACAAAAAAGGTAGCATCATCAGAATATCACTGAATTTGTTAATAAGGTGGTGTTTAGGGCACTCTGTACCACATGCCCCTGCATTTTCTTATGAAAGCTCAGAAAGAATTAAAACTGCATTTTCCTGTAGCAATTCTAAGAAGTGTTTTGTGGTAAAGAAAACCAGTATACCTGACTGTTCCTTCTCCCACCCCCTCCTTTTGGCTATCAGGATTCCCTGGGGCAAAACTATAGTTCAATTTTAAGGCTCTGTGTCCTGGCTATCTGTGGTCTAGTTTTTTCTAATTCAACAAGAATTTATTGAGCCCCTTCTAAGTACTGAATTCATAATAGGCCCTGGGAATGCTAGTAATTAACAAAACAGTCTGGAGCTTACAATCTATTAGATGAGACAGATGTGCAGCTAGTAAACATTGTAAGTGCTCCCTGATCTAGATACTGTAAACCTGTTTTTGAGTATTGATTTATATATTTTTCCCTCAGTATTAACCAGTGATGAGCCATGGAGACCTTTTATGTAACATATATCTGCAAATACACATCTATATTTGTATATTTTGTATATACATGGATTTCTGTGTGCACATGTTATGTTTTATATAAACAGTACATATATATATACTGTTTGTCGTATAGACATACACACACACACACACACACATACATACAGTGTGTGTCTCTCTCTATATGTATATCCTATTTTCTATTTATATGACCACATTGTTTATTGTAGTCAGCATCACACCTTTGGGGATGGGTTGGAATATATGCATTCCTACATGTGTGCACACACATGCCCATGTACATGAAATGAAATTGGATTCCAATTCTCAACATTACATTTTAGCCCCTTTTCCCTAATATTTTTTCTGTTACATAACCATTGGTAAAAATTACAGTTAAGTAAACCATGCTTTATATTTGGTAGCATTTTGGTCCATTTCTTTACTTTTTAAAAAATTATTTTTGTTTTATCTCCTTGAATGTAAGGAATATTTTGGGACAGATTTTCGGTGGTGAGATTGAGATCAAAAGTCATAAAAATCTGGGGTGCCTGGGTGGCTCAGTTGTTAAGCATCTGCCTTCGGTTCAGGTCATCGTTCCAGGGTCCTGGGATCGAGCCCCGCATCGGGCTCTCTGCTCAGCAGGAAGCCTGCTTCTCCCTCTCCCACTCCCCCTGCTTGTGTTCCCTCTCTTGCTGTGTCTCTCTCTGTCAAATAAAAAAATAAAAATCTTTAAAAAAAAGTCATAAAGGTCTGTGACTCTGTATTTGAAAATAGAGAAAGCATTTCTCTTTCTCTTCTCCTTGAAAAAGAGAAGCATTTTATTGTCACAAAGAACTTCAGCATATTGTGTATATAATTTTTTTTTCATAGATGGTGCTTTCCTAGGACAACATTTAATTGCCCTTACAACTTTTTAAAGCTACCAAATGGTTTAACTTGGGTCACTATTTTTGAGTAAAGTGTTGGCATGCTAATCCTCTTGGAAAGTTGCAGAACTGAGATTTTGGAATATAACTCTCAACCATCAGATACAAACAGAGACACAGTGTATACTGGTTGAGGAATTGTGGAGAAAGAAATTGTGCTTCATCGAGAATTGGCTGTGTTTTCAGACAGCACAAACTCAACATCCCACCTATACAGTGTGGCTGCCTTTGGAGCACCTAAAAGCTCAGGATTGTAATGGAGTCCCTGAAATCAATAAAGATGACCTTTTAAATGAGAAATCCAATGGAAAGTTATATTTTTCTTTCTTTTTAATGTGCACCCCTGGATAGCGCAGTTAAATTACATGGTTGAAGGATATTATATTGATGTCCCTGTTGGAAAGAGTTTTCAATCTTATTGGTTGTCTTTCAAATAATATTTTAAAGACTTGCTTTTGCCTATGCAGTGCACGGCAGCAGAGTAGATTAAGTTAGCTCCAAAGCACCATTGTCTATGAGCCAGAAAAGCAGCAAGGATTCTGATTGGCATTATTATTTATTATTGTGAATGCTGATGGTGCATTTTCGTGTCTGAGGCTTTTCTATGCTTATTAACATTCATAAATGAAAAGGCTCTGCTTAGCTGACTAATTGGTAATTTAATTTCCCTAATAACTTTCTTTACAGGACCTGGATTTTGAAGCCAAAACAAGTTACACACTCCGGATAGAAGCTGCAAACAAAGATGCCGACCCTCGCTTTCTAAGCTTGGGGCCATTCAGTGACACAACAACAGTGAAGATAATTGTGGAAGATGTGGACGAGCCCCCCGTGTTTTCCTCACCTTTGTACCCCATGGAGGTGTCGGAAGCTACCCAAGTTGGGAATATCATTGGCACTGTAGCAGCTCATGACCCAGATTCTTCCAACAGCCCTGTGAGGTAAAAGCTCATTGCTCTTTCCTGCAGTTTACAACAATGTGCTTTATTCACAACTCATGTTTCTATATTATGATGCTTTTGATTCATGGCAAATGAAGTCCAGTTTTGTATATGTATTGAGCCATAGCAGCAGAAGTGAAACGGGATCAGAACAACTCGACATTTTACTAATTTAAAAATGTTTCACCTGATTATTCAAGGCCATTATTATGTAGCAATATTCCTAGGCATTCATTATCATCCACAAGCCATAGCTGATGTTCCTATTGAATCAATTATCCTGAGCTCTTTCAAAGCAAACTGTGTTCAAAGATGAAGTGATGCATGTCCTAGTTGTAGGACACGGACATATATAAGAAAACTAATTTTATAAACAATTAAAATTAGGGATTAACTTTTAAGCAAATCATTTTTTTTTTACATATTGGTCTATTTGGGTAGCATATTTTTTAGTTTATTGTTTCCACTTGTAAAAAATTAAATAATACTGTATCTATATATAAGGACTATTTTTCAAATGTTTTATCAATAGTACTGTATCGAGACTAGACACATGGTTCTAAGCAACTGATCTCTTTCCGACTAACAGAATGATGATAGGTAAGCACTTCAGAATACCACAACATTCAGTTTCACACTTTTTACCTCTAATTTACAACCTGAGATCTACATGTATGTTTTTGTGTATGCATGTGTTAGTATGTTTGTGCATATGATACATCTTTTTAGGTGAATATTTGACAGAGAATATACTTGAAATTACTTTGTATTACATGTCTTAATTTGCATTCATAAGTAAAACTTTTTAATGTGACATTTTGGACTTTTTTTTTTACAAAGTCTAATAAAGTACAAAAATCAATTAATGTTTTATATTCAGATATATTTAGCTTATAAGCTAACCACAGTTTTTTAGATTTAACTGCTATCTGGCAATGCTAAGTGCTTTTGAGCTAACTTCTGAGCTAAGTTTGGACATCGACGACAAAGTGTTATGAAAAATATCTGAAAAAAAAAATCTGTAATTTAGACAATGATTCTTAGTTAAGAAAAGCATAATCTTTTACCTCCCTAAAATAATAAGCTTATTTAGGCATATATAACTGCTCTCCTTTCCTTCTCTTTTGTCTAATATTAATATCATAGTCTAATGTAGAATTTGCATAAAATAATTGTTAGTTCAAAAATGAAGTCATACTCGGGCGCCTGGGTGGCTCAGTCGTTAAGTGTCTGCCTTCAGCTCAGGTCATGGTCCCAGGGTCCTGGGGTCCAGTCCCACATCGGGCTCCCTGCTCTGCAGAGAGCCTGCTTCTCCCTCTCCCGCTCCCCCTGCTTGTGTTCCCTCTCTCGCTGTGTCTCTCTCTGTCAAATAAATAAATAAATAAAATCTTAAAAAAAAAAATGAAGTCATACTCATCATTTCCATCTATACGATAAATTCAGGCTCTATGGATGACTATATTAAATGATCATAAACTATTCCTAAGAATATAATCTTCTGTGTCATAGAACATTTGAAAGTCACAAATGTACCAGATGTTAGAACAAGCCTTCCCCTTCTCCCTGTAATAGCCCAGGCTTCGTTGCCAAAACAGCTTCCTGACTTAAGCTCAGCACCATCCACCAAGTCTTGTTGACTTGCGAACACTTGAATTTGGGGTTTGTTATAGCGTCACCTCTCTTACTGAAACACGTAAGTCTCCTTCTCTTATGATCAGACACAGCATGATTGTAGGCATAGATCAGCTACTTGGAATAGTCTCACTTCTGCTTAAATCATTTAATTTCATGGGGAGAAAGAGAATGCTTTCATGAAGTTGGAGATATAAAAAAAGAGACACTAATACATAACATAATTCAGTACTTGAATGAGAGAAGTTAAGAAATCTTGTTTCTTCTTTTTCCTTTACCCATTTCCTTGTGTATCATCATGCTAAAGCCTCTCCACATCAATATTTCACTTGTTATAATATTTTATTTGAAAAAATGCAGCATTATGTAATAATTTGGGGAAGAAGGGAGAGTAGGACCAAGTGGTAAGTGACTTGAGTTAGAGATGAAGTGACCTCCAGGTCTCCTCACTGAAGCACAGATATAAAAAGGTCAGAAAGTGAACTCTGTTGATTTTGGAGGTAAAGATCTCTGTGGCTTTCATCAATGAAAGAGGCTGGCCAGGAATTTATTTTTACCTCATTTTCATTTTCTTAAGGCTAATGAAGGTGACCTGAAAGGTCAGGTTAATACTAGCTTATGTCAGTTTTTGAACACCTTAATCTCACATTTAAAGAGGTACAGCCAAGTGGACTAAAATGTTTTTTTGTGTGTATTTCTTTTACTTTTGTAAAATTAATTTATTGACTTAATATTTACTACTTGTTTTCTTGAAATATTTTTATACTATTTTTTATAAGGTCGCTCAGTCATTCATGGCTGATTTTTTTCTGGATTTGTCTTTGATATTTTTCTCCTCTCCTATTTATTTGTGATGCCCTTCAAGAGGCCAAGTTCCTCATCTTGTAGTTTGATAAGTAGGTGTGTACTCCTGTGCATTTTCTAGAATACTGGTTCTCTTCTCAGCGCTGCTATTTACCGAATGACCTAGGGGATGCCACTGAGCCACCTAAGTTTCCCTATGCCCAGTAAGAAGGAAAAGCAAACCCTATCCCTGCTTTATCCCAACTTTTTTGAAGATTAAGTAATAAAGGGAAAGTAACTAATGATTTTAAACTGAGAATCATGACTTTAGTATTAAGAAGTATTATCATTGTACATTGCTATTATTACAGTTTTTTCTGTTTGCATCCCATTTGTGTTTCAAGGTCAGTAAGTCAGCAAAAGGAGACATACTTTACAAGCAATTGTATTGGCGATCTGTACTGAAATTTGTTTTGTATTCACATATGTATTCAATATTACACAGTGTAATGGATATAAATATGTGTTTGCATTGGGCACTCAAGTTCCTATCAAAATGTAAGCCCTCCTTCAACAAATGCCATGGATGGACAGGGGGCATGATCTGCTGAGATCCTAGGATAAGTGAATTTCCAGATTGAGATAGAACCTGAAGAGTTTTAGGATTGTGAGCTTTGTGCTCACATTGTGGTTCTTAGAGGAATGGGAAAGTAGTATTTGTTTCATTGTAATTTCTTAAAATTAGGCCAATAGTACTTGAATTGTAAACCAGGATGGGAAGTTGGATAATTAGTATTTAAATTTATTGACATTTTTTGTAGTATAATACTAAAATCTAGCATATGCTATTTATATTTGGAATATTTACCAATATGTGGAGTGAGAGACTAGAATTCTAGAAAGAAATACATTTACTTTCCTCCAGCAAGGCAAAATTGAGAGCCTCCTCTCACATGATCCCTGCGTTACTCAGCACTTTTTATTTTTGCCTACTTTTGACACCAGCCAAAGCTATGAGTAACTCTTCTCTGCGCATCTGCCCTTTCCTTAAAGAGGACCGAGACACCTACATCACCATAAAGCATTTTGGCCATCTAGAAGTATAGTAGCACTAGATGGAAAGATTAAATGAACTCAGAGCCCATTGCTTAGCCAGAATATAACACCGTTGTGCACTGTTGGATCTTCATTATAGGTTGCCTAGCAGCCAGGTATGTTACCTCCCCCACCGTGTCATGGATACATTGTTTTCCTCTTCCGAAATAGAAACTAGAAGCCAAAAGTGGAAATTAGATGTGATAGTTGAGATTACTTAGCCAGGAAAAAAAAAAAAAAGAAAAGAAAAGACAAGAAGAAGAGGCTTTTTCAAAAGCAAAAGTGATAATTATGGTCTAGCATACTTCTGGCTTTTTATGTTTTTGTAGTTGTTTACTATTTCATGTAAATTTTGGCCCTGAATACCAAATATCAGGGTTTATCTGTTGAACTTGGAAGGACAGGTCATGTTCTGCTGATGATTTTGATCATCTTTCTGAATGGTAGAAACTTCATTCCTGTGTTTCTCATCAGTGAGGTGGTAGATACTGTAAGAGCAGCCTAGAGTCTGGAGCACTCTTCATTCCTCATGTCAGCACTGGGAGATGGAGCAGTGCATCAACACACATTTATTAAGAACCTGCTTTGTGCTCAGTGCTAGGGAGAATACTGACAGGAAAAACAGAGATGAATAAAACATCTTCTCTGACCTCAAGGAACTTAGAATCTGGTTGAAGACATAAGATCCCATAAAAGTTAAACACAGTGAGGGAAGAAAGTGTCAGAACTGTAACATGGCCAATTGTGAGAAAAATGGTAATCACTCTGAGCTCACCGGACAGGAGGCTTCATTAGAAGAAGCGATAGCATAAGCAGGGCTTTGAGGGATGGCAGGATTTGAACAAACCAAGAAAACATTATGCAAAGTCTGTTTATGTTTTATTTAGTTATATACTAAGAGTCTACTGCTGTTTTATGAAATCAGCAGATTTACTTCCATAGGCAGCACAAGCCCAAAGTCCCTATACTAAAAATAGCCAATGGATTGAAACATGATATTACTACAAATAAGATCAGATGTGAAGAGGGTTTCATAAAAATTAATGGGGATTATTTTCAGCGTTTCTAACACTTTAAATACAGAACTACATTTGTATTTATGCTTAAGGATACCACGATAATAATACTTACCTGCAGGCTCTTTTGGCGTTCCTGGTATTGTATGTTCTCAGATCAAAGGTGACAAAATAGTATCAGATATTACATTATGTAGTGTGACTAGTGTGATCGCATTTGGGATGTTTGAATAATTCAGTGTGTAGTTTTTTAAGGAGTTTATATACATGTATATATTCATACATATTACTTTAAACTAAATTATTTGTTACTATCCGATTTTCTAAGAAATTAGCCAGTAACATACAGAAAAATAGTGGTTCATGTGAACAGTAACAGAAATCAATTCTATCAGGAAAACATGAGCTATAATCTATTTCAAAATGCTGCCCAATTTAATATAACTAGCACTAAAAATGAAAATATATCTGTTC